CCCCAAAACCCCAAAACCCCAAAACCCCAGATAAGAGGACCAAGTTGAAAAATAAATTAATAATGAATTATACAGACACAGAAGTTAACGACTTTTCTCAAATTCCTTCGCGAAATTCAAATGCTTATCCCTGCATATCTGGGATCAACTCCTCGAAGCAGTTCCTAGAAAAAGATGACTTTTGGTCAGGTAAGAAACAAGAATAGATTATTATTTCTTTTGTGAGGAACAAATGGACAAAATCTAAGAGCCTTTAGAAATTTATCTCTCGTTCTTTGCAAAAATACTAAAACAGACTTGCAAAGTCTACCAGATCAATTCCTATAACAAAGTTAGAGGTTGTCTTGAATTGTAAGACAGGTTATTTTAAAAGATATGTATCCATAATCGTGGCAAAGGTAGAATCATCGAAGGAATCTAGAGAGGTATTTAGCTCAAAAACTTAGAGACAAAAATACATCAAGATAAAGTAACCAGCCCTTTTGGCTTTGTTCAAACTATTTTCTCACATTTTGTCTGGCCCAAGCTAGTTTACATCTCTGAGGTTCACTTCAACATTAAATATTGCTAAAGGTAAAATTTACTATTTTTATTTAAAGTTGAATTTTTCATAAGATATCCTCCATAGCATAGTTAATCAGCGAGCAGAGTTTCTTGGTAGAGTGGTTTTCCAGAGCAGCCAACTTTAATTTTCATCCATATTATTGAACTCTCTTTACGATAGTCAATAATAAGACTTATCAGAAGTTTGGTAAATTTTCTTTGGTAATTTTTAAAACAGCCATTGTTATTATCTTTTTGAAATAATGTCAGAAGTATTGATACCTGTCTTTACAACCAAATTTCAAAATCTCATAACCTAATTTAGCCAATAATTACCCACCGGAGGTATTCCAAGATATGGGAGTGTCAGATGTCTCTTTTGGATTTGAGTCGATTCCATTGATACCTGATAAGTTCCAAATAAATCAGACCCAGATCCCTGTTAGGGAAAGTACAGCCAACGAATTAAACACTCACAAGCCCGATAATGACATTGGTACTTACACAGAACAGAGAAATGCTCTTTTGGGAAATAAGGATACTCAAGAGTTTGCTCCTTTACCTAATAATGAATCTCTCAGAAACCCCCAAAATGACATGAGGTTAAGAAAATATGAAGAAGACAAAGAAACTGAAGGAAAGAACACCACCTCTTCTGTAAATAAGAGATGGGGTAAGAAGCAAGACAACAAGCTTTTCAAAGTCCTTAGAGAAATGGAAGCTTGCCATAAAATTTGCTTCAATGATGTCATCTGGGATGAAGAAGGTCTGAAGAATCTTAACAGAAAATTGTTGAGGGATCTTTGCAGGGAAGTTAAATGGATATCCAACCCAAAGAAGCTACTCAAAAGAATCAAGAACTTTTGGGATAAAGACTTCTCAGTAAGAGAGCTAAAGGCTCTCAAGAGAATTATGAGAAAGGATTTTGATTATAAGAACGTAGATCTAGAACAGATTAGTAAGCACTTCCCCTCAAAAAGCATGGAAAATATCATGAATATGGTTGAGATGCTCACAGAGAAGTATGAGCTCAAGACACTGAGCTTGTATTAAATTTCATACTAAAATTTTTAATAAAACTGTTAGACTGAGTTTGGCTCTCCGTTAAGTTAGAAGGGTAATGCAACTTCCAAATTATCCCAAAGGAAAGGTACCTGTTAGTATTAAACATTAACTGAAATCCAGTCAGGTACTAAAATCTTCTTTTCGATAACAGTCATGAAATCTCTCTTCTCATAATTGTCTTTAGCCTTGAGAGCATCAAATTGGTTACTCTATGCCTTGTTCCTTCCTCATGATCTATTTAGAAACCTGTTTTGGAAAAAAATTGTGTGCTTTACATATATCATTATTTCAGTTATTAATTCTTGGATAGATTCTCTCTTGTGAATTCACACCTCAAGTAATGCCCAAGCTACCGCAGTTTGAGATATTTGATGTGGTTTGGAATTAGATCGCAATGTAAACATTCTGTTCTCTAGTATGTATTCATATTTTACGGACTCTTTTTTCAGGTAATAAATGGATGGCAGGTAATAAATCAGTATTCCGGTACAAATATCCAATATATGTGATTTCCCCAAAACCTAAGATTAAGGCTCTTCTTAGGATTCAGAGCTATTTACTAAGTTGGGCTGCAATGCGATAGTTTTAATATATAGATAAGATTCTTATTCTCTAATTTATCCTCTCAAAATTCTTTTATCCATTTATTTAAAAACCGGTAACGGAATAGTTTCAGTTAAAATCATTACCTGAAAGTACGGTACTTATTTTTATCAGTAAACTCTTGCCAGAGATGCGATGCTTCTGAAATGACGGGTAATTGATAGATCCATGGGAGAATTTGAGATTAACAAATTTGGAGACTCTTATCAAAACTTGCGTATTTTCTGTTTTAAATAGATTTGGTTGAGTAATGACAAATATAAGTAGAGAATAATCATACCTAACCTACTATTTTGCTTAAAAGCAGTCTATTTCAAAGACAACTATTCTTCTTATTAAGCAATAACAGTTTTCTTTAAAGTAAATCTAGACTAAAACTATTTACCATGACAATCTCATTTATTTCTTACTATAGGGTTATGAAACCTTTGAGAACATTAAATTAAAATCTCTGATTCAGGTCCTTCAAGTATTGATATTTAGCTCTCCTCATTTCTGCTTTAAGACAAACTATTTAGCTCAAATATAGCTTTTATTACCTGTAAGAAATTCATTCTACCTAATTTTTATAACTGAACCTAATTTGGCCTTCTTTTTGTATATCTAAGTCTATTCAAACCCTTAAGAGCTATCATTCATCTAGAGGGGAGGTATTGGCATTGTTGTGATGATCCTTAATTTTTCAAGGAATTCTCCACATGATGTGATATTTTCAATAAGTTCTTAAAAAATTGTCACTCGCGGTGAATTAGGAGTGTAAGAGCTGAAATTGTATGCTTAGGAAGATATCAATCATTCCGATGACCTTTAAAAAGTAACCTAATTCTCAATGTTAGGAAACTTATCAAAAACTTGAGATTTTCAAAAATTTGTTCGGGTATTCAATCCGAAGAATTTAAAATGGGGTTTTGGGGTTTTGGGGTTTTGGGGTTTTGGGG